CATTGAAATAGTTTATGTGAAACTCAGCAAATGTGTAGTGCCTGCAACAGAAAGAAAGTTACATGGTGGTGGCATGGAAAAGCTGTGATGGCCCTTCCTCTCAGCCTTATCCTGTGTATAGAGAAAGAGGCCTGAACAGATGGCACGACTTTACAACTACAGATTTGGTACTTTATCATTTTTAATGAAGAATGTCTTCACTGTGGGAACGGAACACAGTGATGGCATTTTTGCGGAAAACTGGAGTTCAGAAATACAAAAGTAAATACAATTTTTTTTCACTTTCACCCTTTTTTTATTAATACCTTGGCCAATCTATTTTTTCAATTAGAACATAACTTCACATGAACATACAGAAAACAGCAGTGGTTCACATAGGCCCGGGTGCAGTTCTTTTAAACTTTCAAAGTGTAATTGAAACAATTTTTCCGAATGCCAGTTTCACAGGAGCCACAGTTAACATTTACAATATGTGCCCCTTCTGGGATCACATTGTCAGGATATACCTTTATTCTTGTCTTTTGTTTCCTCACCATAAAATTCTCCACCCCTTGCAGCAATACCCAGACTTATATAACAATGATAGGGCAGTGTGTATTTTTGTACAAAGTAGGGATGCCCCAACAGCATTTGGTATCAGGGCTGATACAGGGCATTTTCATGAGTACTTGTACTCATGAAAATGCCCTGATACTAAAGGCCGATACCGGCCCTTTAAATTTTTTAACCGGATCGGCTGACCAAAGTCCCGTGCTTGTGGGGACCTCAGGTAGCCTGCTGGGGACGTGGCAGTAGCTGTCCTTTGACAGTGCCTGCCCGATCCCACAGCTCTGAATAGCCCCACACCACACATACACCCCCGGAGCCGGAACAAGACCGGCACCCGCCCTGGAGAGACCCACAGGCAGCCCTGATGAGATTTCTACGCAGCCCTGGTGAGATCTATATTCAGCTCTGGTGAGATCTGTGCCCAGCCCTGGTGAGATCTGTGCGCAGCCCTGGTGAGATCTGTAAGTAGCCTGGTGGGACCTGTATTCAGCTCTGGTGAGATATGTACGCATACATGTCTGGTAAGATGTGTAATCAGCTCTGGTGAGATCTGTACACAGCCTGGTGAGAATCTGTAGGCAGCTCTGGTGAGAATCTGTAGGCAGCTCTGGTGAGACCTACAGTGGGGCAAAAAAGTATTTAGTCAGCCACCAATTGTGCAAGTTCTCCCACTTAAAAAAATGAGAGAGGCCTGTAATTGGCATCATAGGTAGACCTCAACTATGAGAGACAAAATGAGAAAACAAATCCAGACAAATCACATTGGCTGATTTGGAACAAATTTATTTGCAAATTATGGTGGAAAATAAGTATTTGGTCACCTACAAACAAGCAAGAGTTCTGGCTCTCACATGAATGGGGCCATGTATCGTGAGATTTTGAGTGCAAACCTCCCTCCTTCCA